AAAATTTGTTTTATTGCAGTAAGAACACTTAACATGAGATCTATCCTCTTAAACACATTTTAAGTGTACATTATCAGACTATATAACTCATTTAAACATTGTCGAGTCTCTCCAATATTAAGAAAGACATCACCAATAAACGTTTTCACTTGATTCCATGTCTCCTTTCACCTGCTGCATATTCTTGTTTTCCTTCATAGTAAAACTTTCTGAAACAGCTGTTCACACTCTTACTTCTTTCTCTAAGCCACGACACTTCTCAATCTACTGCCACCTACCTTCTATTTCCATCACCCCATTCAAACTGTTCTTGCGAAGGATACCCTTCTTAAATCCAATGGGTACTTCCTAGTCCTCACTTTACTAGACCTCTCAGTAGCATCCAACATTTTTGTACCTCTTCTTCTCAAAACACTCTCTTGCTTGGAGTTTCTGGCCCTGTACTCTCCTTGTAACTTCTTACCTCTTTGCAAATGGGATCCACACTCTATCAGGGCTTATATGGTACAGGTTATGCTTTCTGCTCCAGCCTCACCTCTTTCAATGTCCATATTCAAGCTCTATGCTACAACAGATGAAAAATGTTTGTTTCTAGAGCAAGCCATGTTCTGTTTTTCTTCTGGTCTTTGTACATCCTATTCACATCTTACTAGGCCAGTTTCACAAATTCCTTATATCTGTGTTGAATACTCTTCCTGTGTGCTCCTCAAGCACCTCATATTTCCACCACTACCATGTTTAATAAAAGATACTGCAATTGCCTGCTTGCTTGTTCAAGCTCCATGTGGGCAAGACCCATGTCTATCTTCTACCAATTTCAAAGCTGTGTCACCAGATCTAGCACAAGGGCTAGCATACCATAGGCTTCCAGTATATGCCAGCTTCGTGAATGAAGACACACCGATATAGAGGAAGAATGAAAGATCTACAGAAAGACTGTATGTTACCACAACTGTTTTAAGTAACAATCCTAATTTTTTACTAAATCAGGAGACAATACCATGCACTTTGAAGGCACTCAATAAATACTTACTGATTAATCTTGTGACATTTTAAAGCACTACCACTCTTCTAGTTACTTGGGGTTTCTGCTATCATGGACATCTCTTTAATGGGCCAGCAGGGCAAATGAAATTATATGTACAGCAAATCTGGTCTACAGAAAAAGACTTTATACTATAACCTAAATTCTTTTGGCTATCAGTTTCTATCCTCTTATTAGCATATCTAACAAATAACTGGTTACTATTTTTTGGACCAAAAAACACTCTAAGTAATTACAGATGGGGAAAAAAAATCTCATAAGCCTTCTTTTTTGCAATCAAAGTAATTATTTCTAATTCAGAAATAATTTTATCCAATATACTAGTTTTTACTGGTTTTTATTACTTATTTAATTCTCTATACATCTCTGAGGTGATGAGAATACTAAGTTAGTTTTCGCTGGCAGATCACTTAACTAGTGAAATCAAGGTTAAGTGACCAATTGTTACGTGTAGCATTTACTTTTGCTCTCACTGGCAACATAACTGTGCTTAGTAACTCAGGAGAGCCTTCGTAAAGATGAAAGCCACCAACCACTATGGGTATACTAGTAGGTAAGATTTACCTTACCTGTTATTAAGAGCCTTTTAATTAATTACCTCTTATTACCTGTTAATTACCTGCTGATTAGTAAGAGCACTTATCACGTGCAATTACTATTTTAAGTGTTTTAAAGGCACTGATTCATTTGATTCTCACACAAATCCAATGAGTCAGTTATCCTCATTTTATGAGAAACTGATGCAAAGATTAAGTAATCTACATGAAAATTCCATTCATCTCTCTAGAATTTTTATCTTCAGCATTTTCCTATGCCACTAAAAGTCTATTATAAACATATCAGTGGCTTCATAATGTATGATTCACCACTGTACTAATGTATAACAATTTACTCAATGATTCCCCCATCACTAAGAAATTGTGGTTACTTCCAATTGTCTACCATTAAAAATAGATCTTCTATAGACATCTCTTCATAGAAGTCTTTGCCCACATGTTTATTTTCCAAGGACAGATTCCTAAAATAATTTCTAGGTCAATGAATATATGTTGAGTGAATAAATTAGTCAAATTGCTATCATTTTGCCTGAGGTTTTTCCTTGCTTTTATGCTTACAAAGTTTCTCCCCAACCCAAGGACAAACAAATATTCTCCTATTTTTTTTGGATTTAATTTGACATTTAACTTATATTATATATGTATGAATTTTGTTTTAATGTATTAAATGAACAATATTTTTTCTCGAAATAGCTAACCAATTCCAAAACTATCAGTTGAATAAATTATCCTTTCCCACTGATTTTTGCTTCTTCTTATATATATTTTCCTCTTATTGGGTTACTCTTTCTTCAGGAGGCAGTGAAACTTTGGGGAGAAAAGTTAATAGGCTCAACATTATAACTCTGAATTTAAGATGTTTATGAATCATTCAGATGGACACATAGAGTAGGACACAATAGATATAAATTTCTTGCCTAGAAGAGAGAGGGGAGCTTTATTTGAGGGTAAAAAGATTACTCAGGGTAATACAGAGAACCGAAGAACTGAGAGCCAAGGAATAAAGCATGGGAAACCAACATTTCAGGGCCGAGTGGCTGAACACAGCCATGTGAGAAGGCACAATCAGGCAAGTAGAGGGTGGGGAAGAAGCAGGAGAGAAGGGAGCAGTATAAGCCCTCGTCAGAAAGAATTTCATGCATCATCATGAATCACACTTACACCTTTGGTTTACCTGATCAAAACAATAACATAATGTTCCACTAAAATCCTCAAAGTACAAACATACTCTCAATTTATTGTTTTGCTATAAATGGAATTATAAGCAGAGTCTGGCTATCAGAGCATCTTTATACATCTCCATAGGACTTAGAAAAGAATTGTCTAAAGGTTTTAGTATATATTAAATCTAAATCTATCAGAGGTGAATCACAAGATTTTGAAATGCTTTGAGTGACAATGCTTTGTAATGTTGCTCACATACTAAATTAGGTAAAGACAGAAACATTTCTGAAAAAGAGGTAATCTGTTCCGTCTACAAAATAACCCATTTAGGCTACTTGAACCATAAGTGTTGCAAGCTCTGAAGAGGAAAACAAATCCTAGCTCATGCAAAACTATACTTCTAGACTTTGTCTGCAATTTAATTAATGTAAAGCAAGCTCTCAACACTCAAATGTCCCAAACCCCTTCACTATGTTACTGACATGCTTACCACTGAACAAGCACCTTCTTTTTTGGTGCATGACAAGTTTTACAAAGCAATTAAAATGCTGGCATTTTAATTATTTTGAATTTTTCTAATATTTGACCAAATTTAGATATAACTGGAGAGTCTATTTACAGAAAACATGCTTATCTGCAAATGGCTATGTTTCTAAAGTGAACTATAAGTATACCCTGAGAGCCATCACATTCACAGCTGTAAAAACCTAGGAGGAACTCACAGTTCATGCCTAGTCTCTTGATAAATTAACTACCGCATGGGAAAAACATGTTTTGAATCTGGAAGGGAAAACATAGAGGGGTTATGACAACTTGCCTTCCATTTTTACATGTCTAAATAAATATTATTTTATTTGTACTATATCTGAATCTCTGCCCAAAAAAGATCTCATATATTTATAACTGAAAAATTCACTCTTCTCAAACAAACAAAAAATCTTTCCATAGATAGATCTCTAAGTCAGAGAGAGAGAGAAAGAGGGCACACCTCCACATCTACCTTCTCCCAGAGGAACCCAGCAGCAAATCAAAGGTGACCCTTGATATGGTCTGCAGGGATGGGAGTCCTCTATGACAGAAAATCTGAGTAAGAGAAAAGCTCCCAAACAAAGATGCTGCCCCAATCCAACCAAAGCTGAGCGAGGCAGGCAAACTGGAGGCACTGCCCGGAATCTTCCACTGTGGGCAGTGACAGAGAAAAGTACACCTCTGCCTCTGCAAGCCGGCCAGTGCTCAGTTCAACCAGCTGCCACTCATATTTTAATGTTTGAGAGTATGGAGTTCACCCACGACAATGTCTGCCCCTCCTCACCTTCATCACCACCATGGATACACCTTTTCTCCAAAGATGACAGGAAACCCAAAACACAGTTGATATTTTAGGTCCTGGACAGATCATACGCTATTCATTAGCTAAAGCATTTACATTTTCCCCTCCATACTTTTCTTTAAAATTCAACCAATTATCTAAAAATATATGCAAAAAGTCTTGCTGATGGGTATACTGGGTCCATTCATTCCACAGGATCAAGTGAAAATGAGTGGTTAGATGAGAACAATAGTTAACTCACTGCATATTATGGCTATTTTCTACATTGTTGTTTCTTAATTTTTAATAAGCACAATCATTATTGGCCTTACACTGTAAGATAATGTGATATATGCTGCTTCCTTTGAGTAGATTCCTCCTCCTCCTCCTTCATTCATCTGCCTAAATTCTATGTGGCTTCTCAAATAGCTCAGACGACCACCTCTTCAGTAACCGTTCCTTAAGTAAATGTACCCCTATCTCAATTTCTCACAATAGTCCTTCCTTTTACTGAATTAGTTGTCCCTACTCTGGGTTACAAAACCATCCTCTGCCTATTACCTTCAAGGAAGGAATCACACTGTCCTCTATTTGTTTATAAGACATATCTCCCCTACTAGTTTTTGAACTCCTTAAAGGCAAGGAAATTTGCTCATCTTTATGATTCAGCTCATAGCACAATGTCTGGTGTTAGTAGGCATGCTAAATTGTTTGTGAAGTGATGAATACTTGTACAAATATGTTCAGACTTAGAATCACAGAGATAGGTCTTAAGAAAACATTTAGTACATCCCACTTCACCCAAAATGCCCTATATAAGTATTTCCAAAGAGCTGTGTTATTATTAAAACAAGAAAATAATTTTCCATGTTCAATATAAAATAAACATTTTTCTAATGAAAATAGGATTAAATAAAAGCCTTACCGGCAAAGTTCCAGGTAGAGATGCATCAAAAAAAGAAACCAAAGAATTTGGAGGTGCTGAAAAGCGAACTTGAGATCCAGAGAAGAGTTTAGAGTTGGAGGAAATCTGGGCATGAATTTCCAAACCTACCACAGCAGCCCATTTGTGTTCACTAAGAAGAAAGAGATAATGGTTAAGATGCAAGTATACTTGTCACCATGAATAAATTTCTATAAGTCTAAACCACAAATGTTAATTTCCTATATGTGTTTAAAACTTATTATAATGTTATATCCTCACATTTAAAATGTGTCATTTTATCAGTGACTAAATAAAAAACAATTCATAATAAGCACCTACATTGACATTGGGAAACTTAAAATTCATTTACCACATGGCATCAGGAGGCTGACTACATACACATGAAGGCAATAGAGAAAGGAACAAGTTGGCATCTTAAAACAATTTAGAAATGGGTATCAGGTGATACCCATCAGGTGACAACTGCTTGGCTGACTTCAGTGAAAAGCAGCATTTAACAAGTTAACTGTACCTTATCAAGTAATCATTCGGTAAATGAAGAAAGCTGATGTTCTTCACATTATTTAGAATTAACATAAATGGGAAGATTCTACTACTAGAGAAATAGTGATAAATAGTTCCACATCTCCTATTTAAAAAAGAAATTCTCAACCATGTTTTGAATTCATTTCATAACAATGGCTTGCAAATATAATAACCAGAGAGGCACAGAAATAATACATCACCACTAAATAATACTCTTGAAAACAATTTGCAAGAACCCCACCATATTAAACCATCTGATATGGCATATTTTTGGTCCCCAAATCACTTTTGATTCCTGAGACCTAATTTCAGGTTACTTTGTTCATGTTTGATTGCTACCAGATCTAAGAAGTTGCTAAATGCTATAATAATCTCTCTTGTCTGGAGATTTCTTCTCTGTTGTATCTGTACACAGATCTCTCCAGGTCCTTATAAATGTGTTTATTCCCTAGGAAATCCATGTATGTTCCTATCCTGCTCTTCTTTCAAGCAATTTTTTAAAATATTTTTATATATATACACACATATATATGTATATACATACACAGATTTTACATTATTTTGTTTTGTTTCAATCATTTCAACACAAAGTTCTATGTCTGAAGTACTGCAAGAATAATTCCTTCTTTCCAAAGTTTGGAAACAGCCAATAAGGGAGGGGAATTAAAGCAAGAACTCACTAGAAATTCTGCATGCAGTAAAGCATCAAAGTATTTTTGCAGTTCCATTACATGAGAGAAAAAAATGTACTTTCCATTCACAGGGAAACAATCTAATTCACGAAAAGAATACAAACTGAATACTTCTGGGCAACTTCCCTCTGTTCCTCCAACTGAAAGCAAAAATACTGCCAACCAATCTCAAAGAATAAACAAAAGATTAGAACTTGCCTTATGTTTCTATATTTAAAGAGAAAATATTTAATTCTTATATAATGAAGCATAAACAGCTGTTCAGGGGATATCTGGCCAAATAAGCAAAACTCTCTATATAACCAGAAGGGAGTATCTCTTCTTTTGGCTGCGTCCTCCTAGGTCTAGATACACACATTCAACATAATATGCCTGCAGAGATAGCTAGTGTTTTCTGACTAATGACATTAAGCCAACTCTACCCAAAGCTAGTAGGTAAAGGCTCCTTTTCTACCTTTAGAACACTGCCGGCCCAAAGTAGCGCTAAATAAAATCAGCTAAATATGATCCCGCTACTACTGTCACCGTCCCCACCGCTAATGCTATTAGTAATATGACCGAATCCACTCTGTCTGTGCTGCCTTCAAGAAAATATTTGCTATTTTGCATTCGCGAATTCTCCAACTATGTCTATTCGAAAACAGTGTTTACATATGAGGGCGGAGCTGATAGAAGGCCTGTTTTGTGCTTTTATTTAGGGTTCGGGGCGCCAGGTTATAACTCAACGCCCTCCCTTCAGCCAAAACGTCTAGTAGCTGGGCTGTAATTGCCATCATTTCCCCAGTCCTGCAGTTCCACCTCACAGGTGAGCAGAAATAGTATGAAACAGAATACCCTTTCCTCGGCTTCTGGGCCGTGTGCAGGGGCTGCTGAGCCACTGAGCTCTGTCCCCTAATCCTGTCGCATGTGGACCCAGTCGGAGGCCCTCTTCGGTAGCAAGAACCGCCGTCAACGCAGGCTAAAGCCCAACGTCTTCCACGGCAGCCCCAGCGCAGCACGGGCGCCGCCATTGTAACACCAGGGTCTTGGTCAGGTGACTCAGCCACAGTCTGCAGCGAGGATCCCTGGGAAGCGTAGTTCTAGAAATGTATTTAAAAGCGCTGCGGGCTCAGACCGGAAGACTACTATTCCCGGCAAGCATTGTGACTCAAAGGCTGCCGGAACACGGAGGAGAGGGGCGGGAAGGAGAAATAGAGAAGAGGGTGGGAGGGTTTCTGGTGGGGAGGCGTGACTCCTCCTAGCGGGGAGTTGGAGAGGTTTGTGGCTCCGAGCGTGTGTATGAATTTGAGTGTGAGCGCTTGGTGCTTGGTGCTGAGAAGCGTGGCCGGGATTCTATAACCCAGTTAACCTTGCGAGGGGAAGTAAATGACCTTGACATCTCAGCAAAGACTTCCTGATCCCCTAAGCCTACTCCGTTATTTTCTCTGTCTTCTCTCCCTCACACAGCGATTTGTGCATTAATGCACCAAATACTTATTTGCATGCCTACAGTAATGTCAGACTCGGTTCTTAGGCACTGTAGTTACTACAGAGACCAAGACAGTTACGGCCCGTACGTTCATGGAGCTTGCATTCTAAAGGAAAGAGACATACAGAAGTTAACAAAAATAAGATGCTTCCACATAGGCAGTTAAGTGCTACGTTTAAGCAGAGGTATTTGGAGACAGACAGACCTAGATTGAATGTTCATGTACATTTTAACCTATTCTCCTTCTTCTTATTGGCCAGTATCAGAAGTATACTCCTTATATACTAGAAACAGATACCATCGTCCCAGTGGACTTCCTTCATTTTCCTGCGTCAAAACTCATACACCTTGATAAAACTGCCACCAATTTCTTGTATTTGAACACAGTCTAGAATAGTTATTTAGCCACTCTCTGTTTCATCACTCTACTTTGTTTTCATAGTGCTTTTGACTATCTGATGTTTATCTTCTATTTCCACAAATTCCTTGTCTGTCTTATTAACTACAGTACAAAGTAGGTTCCTCAAAAATATTTGTTGAATAAGGTAATGCAGTGGGGAGAATGCATTTGGAAAAGGATGCAGTGGATGCCATTTGTAGTAGTCATTGTTGAGGGGAGAGATGATTAATTAGGGTGATGGCAGAGGCAAAGAGAAATGGATCTATTCGAGATATATTTAGGAATTAAAACTGAAGGAATGTGATGAATTGGGTATGATGGTGGTTGGCTAGGAGGATCTAGTAACTCCTGGATTTCTGGCTTGCACGACTGGCTGATGAAGTTATTCACTGAGCTAAGGAAACCAGAAAAGAAATAGGTTTGCAAAGAAAACATATGAGTTTGGTTGCCTTGGAGACATTCAAGAGGAGAAGTAGACATCAGTGATGCCTAATTCTGAGTATAGAGCAGGGCAAGGGGAAAAGCTGCATACTTTTATACTTCACACTGATAGGTTTTCAGTTACTGATCAATAATCCATTGATTAGATGGCTGTAACCTTTGATCTTTTCCTTTAATACTCTCATACAATTATGATATTGTACAATTTAATTCCTCCATATGGAAGAAGGAAACTTTACTCTCAAAACTGTCATCATTTACTTTTTCTATCTTTTCTACTTTTTCATCCACTACCACTGATCTAAATTGCTACACCAGAAGTATTGGTCATTTGACCAAGGATAAAAATGACAAAAATGACAGGGTTGGGAAGTGAGTGGTGGAGACTTGTTCCAAAATTTCTCTCTAATTATTGCCCTTTATTTAAGGTTCAGATGATTCTCCAGATCAGGCGCCCCCAAACTTTTTACACAGGGGGCCAGTTCACTGTCCTTCAGACCGTTGGAGGGCTGCCACATACTGTGCTCCTCTCACTGACCACCAATGAAAGAGATGCCCCTTCCTGAAGTGCGGCAGGGGGCCGGATAAATGGCCTCAGGGGGCCGCATGCAGCCCGCGGGCCGTAGTTTGGGGACGCCTGCTCTAGATCCTTTACTAGAGTCTTCCCTCTGAGTTTCCATGTTTTCCACCTTTACTCTAGGTAAGCTTGCTCTTTATTTTTTTGCTTCTCAGGTTTTTCTGGCCAAGATTAAGGGTCGGGGAGTTGCCTTTGAGCACAAAATGTCTTCATTTTTGTTAGGACAACATAGAAGAGAATCTTGTGTCTCTAGCTAAAAAGAGAAGGAGACCCTTGCTACCTTATCACTGGTAATCAGCATCCTTAGGAGGCAATTCACTCCATCACATGGAAGGCTGGAAATGTTTTGAAAACCACCATAAGGGAGAGCAACACGCCTAATGAAAATCCTAATCTTATGGGCAAACCGCACTATAATGGAAGCTTATCTTTTTTTTTTTTTTTTTTTTTTTTTTTTTTTTTTTTTTGAGACGGAGTTTCACTCTTGTTACCCAGGCTAGAGTGCAATGGCGCGATCTCGGCTCACCGAAACCTCCGCCTCCTGGGAAGCTTATCTTTGTCTATGAAGCAGTATTATGCGGTAATAGGCTATCAAAGGCCCCACCCCACCACTAGAGGGAGATAAAAATCCTATGCATGTAATATTTTTGCTTCCTTTCACAAATGAAAACCGGCCAGTTTGCTGCATCTTATCTCTACCTAATCATTGTCCTTTCAAAAATCCACTGAACTAATGGTGGAAATAGGGACTTGTCAATAACCACCACTTTGGCTCTTCTCTCTCTCAAGACTATTAGTCATTTCCCGAAATACCTGTCGTTTTCCTTGTGATTGGTCTGGTGTCTAGAAGCACTGTTTTCTGAGTGCTCCCCCTGCCTTGCGTCTTAGCTAGTCATGCTCCCACCAAATCGCCTTCTGTGGGACCATTTCTAGACTTCCTGCTGAATGCCAAATCTGATATCTGTCAGAACTATTACTGACAGACAGCTCTATAGCTGAGAAAGCTATTTTGGTTGCACAAAAAAGGTGGCTGTCATCTGGGAGACACAGAGATTTTCATTTTCAGGGAACTCAGAAGGTAGCTGGGCAGAGTTTCTAACAAAAACAACATTTTTCTTAGGGAGAGCCTCTCAGCTCTTATTTTATCCATATAATTGATACACAGTACAAATAGATTTAGAACAAGTTTTTAAAAAGATATGTAAAGCAGAGCAGAATTTTGAGTCGTTACTTATAAATGGTAATAGTTAGATGTGTCTAAAATAACATCTTTGGTTTTGTTTAGTGCTCTTCAGTGGGTCTTTGAATGTCAGAGTTGTAATGAACTGGATCACCTCTGTATTTGACTTAGAATTATGAATAAAAACACATTGATTTCTGAATACAGATCATTTTTCTCTCAAATCTAAGTTGTGCTTAATTGTAATCATTCCCTTTCACCAGTTCACGGTGGGATAAATCATATGAGAACCCAATGTCCTAGGATATAAAGCCTCTTTAGTAATGTGGGTACAACGTGAGGGAATAATACAGATGGTTCTAAGTTTCCATTTTTTTTAAACAAAATAAATAATTTTAATTGAAACATTAAAATCGCAAGTAAAATGAAAAAGAGACAGTTTCCGCTATCCTAGCAATATGTCTCGAAATCTATTTGTATACATCTTTCCAGTTAAAACTGCACTAATGTAGTATTTGATTAACTACTTTTGTCCTGGAAACAAAGGCAATGTTTTAAAAGCATTTAGCAGGCTAATAAACAAAATGCCCCTTGTAGTCTAACAGAGCCAGAAGCAGATGGTTATCTTAGAATTTCTTAGCACAGTTGTGAGCTTGCTCCCTGTCTTGGCTGTGAGTTTCTGTGTATTCTATGGCTATGGAACTCAACCTGCTGTCTTGAAACTTTATGCCACATGGGTAGAGAGGGAAGGTGGCTAGGTCAGTACATATTCTCTTAAAAAAAGAGAAAGAAACCATAGCAGTAACAACAGCAAAATCCATATAAGATGATGTACATATAACAAAAATTAATAGCATCATTTATGTTGCAACTAGAAGAGCTCCTGTTTTTGCGAAAGCATTCTAAAAACACAAAGTTCCTTCTTAGAAAAACTACATTTTAAAATCCATTTAGGTGTCATTCGGGAAAAAAAGAAAGACTGGGAATACAAGCATGCCGAGCAATTGGGAGAACAGGATTCATTTCCTTTTATTTTACCATTAAAGTCTTGATTCTGATAAAATACTGATGTGGAGGGAACAATTGCTTTCTATAGAAGATTGCTTTGCAGCAAAGAAATCTATAATTCTTTTTTCCTTTCCGGTGCCAGAAACCAGAACACCCTGTTCAATGTCCTTGTAGAGATGACAGGCCACATGGAGAAGATGAGGCCAGCACATTGCTGCTATTATGCCTGGCCCATAAACTGGAAGCTGCCTATGGTTTCCTTCTTCTATCTAATCTCAGTGTATGTTTTGCTGTTTCCCCAGGCTTTTTCTGTGCTAAAAATCCGACTACTCCCTCGGAGCCAACAAGAGTGATGTAAAAAAGAAGCTCCACTTCCATATATCCTTTGATTTATGACGTTAATTGAAAGAAGACACTCCTGAGTTGTAAGTAATGGGTGGTAGAACATTGTAAATTCCATGTTTCTGTAAACTATGTTTTTGCATGTGCTCAGATCCTTCTATGCACTAAGAAGTTCTCTCTTTTGTGTTTTGGAATTGGATATTTGTCCTTCAAAGTTAAAGAGCTTGTATATTCACTACACACACACACACACACACACACACACACACACACACACATCACCACACACACACTTCTAAGCAGCATCTTAATTCAGGAGCTCCAGTGATAATTATGAACTTTTAAGTTTCAAAACAGATGATGTTTTTGTATGTCAGAGCGTTTTCCTGATTTTAAGCCTAAAGATGTTGAGTAGAAAAGTATGATGTTAAAGAACTCCACCACCAAGGCACGTGGACTTTGATGAGACCTTTCAGTGAATGAACTCCTACTTGATAATTGAAGGAAAGACATATCAGAGTCCATCAGTGTGATACAGAAGAGAGCAGAAGAGCTTTTCTTACACATCCTGCCAGGTAATTGGTGCCATTACCTGTGCGTATCTGAACTGGTATCTCTGTATCTAGGCCACCCT